AAGAAGAACAACCCCGTGGTAGGTCATAAGAACCAACCTTTAATTTGATCAATACAATAGGCATCGATAGCTACCGAGGGGACGTACCCAGCAAACACGGAATGAATATCATTCCTTGCGGCAGAAACGGCAAGAGCCTGTAGAGCTAGCATGCGATCGTGATTGAAGCCAAAAAAGCCGACAACATTCCTGAAGCGGCGTCAAGGGGATGTTACTCGGACAGTTAGCAACATACCTAATCTTTGCAGGTAGGAGAGAAAGCACTAGGTTAAACAACCCATATCCTGACAACCTTGAATTTAATACGATAACACAGAGATGTGAGAAAAGGTACCGAACGCAGTTCCGGACAATACGAGTTCCTCGACGGGCCCGCTTGGCGGATTTGTGATTGTCCCTGGGGCGGCGACTGAAGCCGGCGGAGTGAACCACCTGCTAAAAAAGCCTGACTTCGACGCGGTAGTTGGCTTAGATTGTATTGCTGAAGAACGCAAACTTCTATCAGAGCCTCTACGCGATGGTAGAGGGGTTGTTGCGGGAGTTGCGTAGGACTGGAGACCATTCGGGTAAACAGTCTTGAAGAGTCTAATGACAGTCAATGAACGTGTACGGTGTATGGATGACTTATGACAACGCACTTGTTGAATTTGGAATGGGCACTATTCTGACATTAGTCATACATAGCACATCTCGATTCCAAAACTCGCCTGTTAAGTTCATATCTGTAAAAGCATTGGCTGCAAGCAGGACACACATATGAAATAGGACTCACACACACTGCAGGTAGCCCCGGTATGACTCGCTGTAACCGAATATGAAAAGCGAGCATGCATCAATATGGTCAAACATACCTCAGTGCATGAGTCAGGCCAAGCAGAACGACAGCATCGGCATGCATGACTTCCCACTCCATTCCAGCGTCGAATCGATGGATCGAGGGTAATGATTTTGCCGCCCGTGCTTGTTTCTTGGCGCCTGCTTCCGAAGCTGTAAGGCAGCGAGTAGCTTCGTCCATTAGACCCGTCTGCAAAAATCAGTCATGTCTAGAGATGATATACTAAGTAATCAACCAACCTCCATACCAAGGGCTGCCTGCAAAAATGCAACAACGCCAAGTCCTAATAAGTGGAAGGGAGCCTCCTCAGATTCAAACACCTTCTGGGCTGCATCGATATCATTTGCAAAGAGGTGATCAAATCCTTGCGTCGCTGAGCGCAATAAATCCTCAGCTGACAGGGTGGACGCCATAGAAAGTGAATGGTGTGGTTTGAGACCAAGGAGGTGACAACGATGTCAATGAAGTGCGGCACCGCATCGGCAGGTCCGGCGAAGCCAGAACGGCATCTGACAGTCGGAAGCCGGGCTCGTGTGGCAGATTACTCAAGGCTGGCCGCAGTGCCTCAACGGTATTAGCATCCTGAGTTAAACAGTAGGCTTTGATTCAATATCACCACTAACTGCTCATACTGCATCGACGCAGTCTAAACGGATGACAGTGCGAACCATCACCACCAGCACCCTCAAGACATTGAAAAATTCAGTCATCGGCAATCCCGCCGCCAAACTAGCCCTTGCTCAGGATACAGCGCTCATTCATCTGTACGTGACACCACCTTATACATGATACAGAGCTCATGGTCATCTGGCTAGGCTTGTCAACTGCATTAAGCACCCTTCAACGTCTTATGTTGATACTCAAGGGTCTCATGATGACATTCGTATCGAATCCGCCCATGTGATTGCGTCTATCTCCTATGGCATGTGTCCATATGATAGTCTCTTGTTTAAAGACCAACAGTTCATTCCAGGTTCAGAAGTCGCTCTAGTTAGCTTGATCCACGCGAATGCTCTTCATGCGTTCCTCTTTGCGCTGTCAAACATGAAACCCCACGATCCTGTGCAACTAAAATCTGCATTAGCGCGGGGTTTACGAGTGTTGTCCACGGCCATTGCTGAAGTCGTTGGTCCATCTCAACTTGGTCTTCGAACATGGAGCCCCGATTTGCGGAGTGAAGCTAAGGTCGCACTGAGCTATCTTTTCGAGGTAACTTGAATTCCTTTAGTCAAGGTGTGCTCATGTTGATAGGATCCAAGTTTGATTGCCTCAATATATTTCTCCCACTCCTGGCTGATCCTTCATCTCAAACAAACATTGCTATTGCACAGCTGATCAGTACAACTGTCCGCTCAGATGCTCATCGGAACGCCGTCATAGAATGGCTGCCTCCTGCTGAACGCTCCAAAGAGATTAAGGGCAGACGCGGTTGGGAAAAAAAGGAAATGGTAAATTCCACTTCGCCAGCCAGACAGGGTGGATGGGTAGTCCGGCTTCTGGTCAATTTCCTTCAAAAGAAGGACATAAAGGTTATTCCATTATTTATCAGAAGCAAGTGAATCTGAAACCTCAAAGTTACAAGAAGCCGCGCTTAGCGCAATATCATCCTTGGCAATGGAAAATACTGTGGTTGCGAGCACACTCGCGAGAGCCTGGCCTGACATAGGTAAGCACGATTGTCAATATTTGATTAGGACCAAATGTGATGTTCTGGCATGAGTTGACCCCCCCTTGAACATCGTTTTAAATTTGACGAAAAGTAGATCGACTGATGTGCAGCTTACTGCATCTCTGTGGTATGTGTTCAGTTTGATCAGACCCTTCATCCAATGTTGACCACCCTCAGTGCTGCTCACATTCTTCGAGCCAATGCAAGCCACCATCCAGGATCGATAGATTATTCTGCTGCTCTGAATGTTATCCATGTTATCAACCGGGTGCTCTCTTCGTCGTCTGAAACTACACAGAACAAGATTAAAACATGCTACACTCTCTGTATGAAAACATCACCCTTGTCTCAAGCAGTCATCTGATTTCGCATCAGATCATCTGGTGAAAGACGATAGAGATTTGTGCCGAGAGGTCTATGAACGCGGAACATTGGAAAAGGTAGTTTTATTGGCGAAGCACATCACTCCACTCGAAAGGACGTCGGAATGGGAAGAAGACGAGCCTGAGAGCATCCTTGCCCTCAGAGAAGTGAGTACCATCTTTTCATCAGGATGTGCTTACCTATTTTCATATTACAGGCGACGTTGACTGTGATTGCAGCAATCTCGCTCTTTGATAATAACATTCGCCGGGAAGTTGCAGATGATCTCCACATCGTCCCCACGATACAAGTCTCCTTGTCACACAAGAACATTGGTATCCGCCACGCAGCATGCACGTGCCTACGCGCACTTAGTCGTGCAGTTTCTATCATCCGCACAAATATCGTGGACAGCAAAATTGGAATGGAGCTCTTTGCGATATTTAAGAAAGAAGACGAGGATCCAAGGGTGACATATGCAGCTTTGAATACTATTTGCAACTTGGTGAATGATTTCTCACCGCTAAGGCCGGTGCGTCCGACATTTCTTCCAGAGACCTGTTTCCGAGCGATTCTTTCCTCAGAAACTATTGGACCAAGGGCTCCTTCCGCGACTGATGCAACTACTTGCTTCTGACGACATAAATATGAGAGTTGGTGCTTTGTGGGCAATGAGGAATGCCCTCCGGAAAAGCGATCCCAGCACAAGACAGACGGTAATGACACATCTATGCTGGCCCCGGCTCGTCATGTTCGTTTCAACTTCTGTGCTGCTGATAGACCGTCTTAACGTCTGTTCCACAGGCTGTGTAACGATTCCAATACTGAAATTCAAGAACAAGCCATGAGTATTTTGCGCAACCTTGCAGAAGACGAAGAAGGGGTGGACTACGTATTTGAATCTATCGATAAGGAAACTCTCGCCAATTGTATTACTTCTGGCCTAGAATCCTCCAACGAAGATGTGACCCATCATGTAATTCTCAACTTTATTCCGCTTGGCAATCTTCACTAACAGCGGATGAACAGACTGCATGCTTTTTGGCGAACATAGCAAATGGCTCGCGAGAACAACAGGACTTCATCTTCGCGCACGCACGCATCATCCACGCCATGCACGACTGCATGACCGATGCCAAGTCCGACACACGTTGTCCCCTGATCTCCTGCATATTTTCCCTCGTCCAGTCCAACGTTCGTCGGAAGCACGAACTCAACGAAGCAGGGATTACCTCGACGCTGCGGCACATGTGTGACTGGACTGGGGGTGTCATAAGCATGAGCCCTGGGGGCCACCATCGCATACACGTTGATGACGACAAGGAGGCGGCGAAATTGGCGCGGTCGGTCTTGGATCTTTTAGAGCACAGTAATATTGGAGATCTACTGTAGCAGATGTGTGATTTACAACGATGTAGCTTTTGGTATGTTATCTATATCTCCAGGTACTTGCCTGTTCCTACTCGGTCAAAATGACATGGAGCGGGTGAGTAATATAATATCCAACCATTTGAGGACGTACGGTTCTTACGTTATGTAGACGTGCGGACAAACTTGAGGCGCCAGGCCAGTCTTTGCGCAACCTATGATTCGCCCAGTCAGCAGGTGCATAGCTGCAGTGTATAGCACAGTAACCAACAGCATACTCGAGAACAATGTCTCAACTTGAATCAGACTGTCAACGTTTTATGCCTCATGGTATAGGTTCGTGCTAGCGTCAGCGACACCTTGTGGGGTCAAGTGATTATGTTTGTACGGAATACCATTCACGCTATAAAACCAACCTTCGATAGACATACCGTTTGCACAACAAGAATATTATAACAGAAGAGAAAAGACCGACCGTAATACACAGTAAAATACGTTCTGGCGATATAGAAACTCAAGGCAAGGAAGAAGTCCGCACCGCATGGCTTGATGGAAGAAATCGCAGCAAAACATCGCGCTGTGCAATGTGACATGAGTATAAGGAGGTGATGAGTGCCAAAAATCTATGAGCGGAAAGAAGTAGATGGATGGGACGGACTGGTGAGTCTCCATCAAATAGCCCTCTTCCTTGGGTTGCCTGCGCTGTAACAACCGTCTGCCTCGATGTCATTGGATCAAGCATAACGCAAAGTATAGTCCTGACCACTAGAGGAAGTCCTCTGCTCGTGCCCTTTTCTTCCCTCTCGTCTCTTCAGCTGAAAGTGCAGAAGAGTCAATGCCAGATAGCAGCATATTCGTCGAGTCTCGAGCAACATAGTACTTTTTAGTGTGAGCCCGCTTCTCTTCCTACGATACGCCTCATTAGTTGTAGGATGTGGGAGAAATTTTACATCAACTCACAGGGGAAAAGTTCGGGTTTGCATATTTGAGTTCTGTCGGTTTCTTGAAAGGCGCATACTTCTGTTCGAGGGCCGAATTTGGCAAGGTCAAAGGAGGTGGCGCTGCGGTTGCAGCGGGTGGTCCCATAGCAGCAGCCGATGGCGGCGGAGCACCAGATCCAATCCCTGGTGTAACTGGTGGGAACGGTGATGCTGAACCAGCGGGAACAAAAGAAGGTGGTGGAGGGAATGGTGGCCGAACACTTCCGGGAGGAAAAGGTGGCGCACCTGGGGGAAGCATACCCGGTGGAGGCATGAGACCAGGAGGCATAGGGAAGCCAGGTGGTGGATGTCTATATAACAGATCAACACACAATTTAATGCAGAGAAAAACTCGATTTACCCTGGAAGGAAACCGGGCATTCCAGGAAAAGGCGGAAAAGGCGGTAAAGCCCCGGCAGGGGGTGGCCCTCCCGGGAAGAATGGAGGAGGCGCACCTGGTCCCATACCAGGAGGCATCCCTGGCGGTGGAAGGCCCGGAACTGGAGTAGGAGGGGCAGCATATGCTTGTGGAGGAGCACCGTATACCCCGCTGGCACTATTGTCAGCTGCAGGAAGAGCAGGAGGATTATCGCTGCTACCGCCCATCAAGGCCTTATGGGCCTCTAACTGAGCCTTGAGTTCGTCCTCCGATAAAGGCCTCTTTTCAATCTTAGGTCTCTTAGGCTGAGGCTGAGATATAGAACCTGCAGCTAAGCCAAGTTCGATTTCCTTGCGGCGCTTATAGTCTGCAACATCAGGTGCAGGAATGCCCTCCATTCCGAAAATCTCCACTTCATACCCATCACGTCCTGGCATAGCGTTCTCAATCCGTGGAAGGCTGAACAAAACAAAGTCAACAAACGAACTAGATATGGATGGATTTTGAGGCACTTCTCTGGTTCTAGTTTATGAACTTGTTGAATATGCACGGCCAGACCGCCGGCAGTGTTTAATCGGCGAGGACACATGTTGCATTTGAAATGTTTGGCCTTTTGGTGTTGCATAAGAACTGAATGTCCGTGTATATGAGATTCCATCTTCCAGACGTATTAGAAAAAGTACCTTTCTCATCTTCAAACTCCCTTTCACAGTACCAGCACCATGGGCGGATGATCTAAAAGAGTCTTTAATCAGCATATATAGAAAGAAGCTGCATACCCACCTGTTTATTCTTTTTCTTTGCCATTTCGTCGACGTCGCCGTTGGATGATGGTGGAAAGCAAGGGAAACTTTTCGGCGACGCCCGCTGATGGGTGTAACCGTGAGAAATTAATAGTCAATGGAAGTATTACTTAAATGAGGTGGCCTCCCCTAGACTCACCCACTGAGGACTCTATAATATTAGAGTGTAACTCGATAACTTCAACCCGTCCCTTTCAAATCTCCAAGATTTTTTGTTAGCCAACGCAAATGATTGGCAAAAGTCTGCCTGAATATGTCTTTATAGTCACCAGCATAGGGCTTCTTCGGCTGGTGGCACCGATTAGCTTTCTGTACGTTGCATATCTCGTCGTTGCTCAACCAGATACCAGATGGCAGACGTCATTGGGAAGGTACGCTTTATTGGAGATATTTTTTTATACATTGGTCTACCTGCCTAGACGGTGGTTGTTACAGAAGGCATGGATTTATCTGTATCCCCGGCAAGCATGACGTCTTAAGAAACTCCTCTAGCCTGCAGTACACCCTACCATTCACACTCGCGAATATCGGCGGATGCTATTTCAGCGGTGTTCGAGCTATATGGCAACCTCAGATTATATCTCTGGATGGTTTTTTTCAGCGGAGTTTAAGAGGGAAAACGTTGTGGACTGGCTCCTCTGGGCTTTGTTCTCTGCAACAAGGGACACCTGTTTAGTGGAATGGGAGGAAGAAATAGAGGAATATCTCTCGATGATAGAAGTTATTCTTGATAGAAAATTGGCCACTGGATATAACACTGGGGCTCGATGCATGCGACCCACGCTCGACAGTGTGTCGATGTTGCACCGGCCATTGATCTGGTATTTGGTAAGTAATCATCCGAGCGTGATGAACCTCAAAGACCTACGATTATTCAGGTTGTGGGTCTGGTGGATCTATTTTCATCGTTCAGACTTTGGCGCCAGGGATTCCAACACTATGATGATGGCAACTGCATGACGTCGTTTCCAATGCGCCCATGTTGTCTCATCTCGCGAAGATCGCCGGTAGTCAAGTTGCCATACTGGTATCGTCCTCACCGATCAAGAACGAAACTGCCCGTCCTTTTTATACACGGCATTGGAGTGAGTTCTTGAGGTGTTCATGTGGATGATTCTAATGTTTCTGCAGATTGGTTTATACCCATACACGCCTTTCTTCGAGGAGTTCATTGCTGTACATCCAGATATTGGAATTTTGGCAATTGAATTCCTTTCCATCAGCATGCACATCACCTCCTCTCCACTCTCAAGCTCGGCCACTTGTACCGCTATATCCCAGATTCTGGATGATCTCGGACTCGATCGTGTTGTTGTCTTGTCGCACTCTTATGGGACAGTCATCACTACGCAGATGCTCCACTCCCACTTTTCCCCTCGCGTTGCAGCGATACTTTTCGTTGATCCGATACCATTTCTTCTCCATCTTCCCGATGTCGCCTTCAATTTCCTCTACCGACAACCTCGTTCTGCTAACGAGTTACAGCTTTGGTATTTCGCATCTAGGGACCCGGATATCTCGCGGACCTTGTCCCGGCACTTCTTTTGGTCAGAAAATGTACTGTGGAAAGAAGATCTTGTGGGAAGACCCGTCGCTGTATGGCTGAGCGGAAAGGATCAGATCGTGAACTCGGAACAAGTCAGAAAATATTTGACAGAGGAACCAACGCCTTCGGAATACTGGGCTACGGATACACTAGAAATGCTCTTCGATCCTGACTTGGATCATGCTAGTGTCTTTGATACGAAAGACCGACGCAAGCGTCTATTGGACGTTCTGGATCGCTTCGTTGGCTGTCTAGATTACAGGAATTGACTCACTTCACGATCAGAAAGCAACCCGTCTGCTAGATCTCGATCTCAAACTCCGCATCTTCACGTGCTGATATTGCGTCAAGGCAATTATGTATTAGAAAAGCAAACTTTAAGAAAACGTGTTAAGAGAATAGGGACTGACTCATGTATAGGTGTGTGAGTCAGGGAATATACAAGTACGTGATCTTGATGTAGTACCATTAGACACTCCGAACTGCAGCTTTCTCCGTTGATAATGATATCTTCTCCATACAGACCTGAATTCGATTCTGGTACGATGAGGATGAGATAAAATATTTAATAGAGACTCCGAGCTATCTGTCCGTTGCGATTCATAGTATGTCTGATGGTCTGGCTCGCATCCGCGCAACGCTAAATGTCCGTCCTCCATATTGCAGTGGAACGTGCGAAGTTGCTGTCGAGCAATCTACGCTCTTTTATAGTACGGCGACAAGCGATGTACGGTATGCCATTCATTATTCGCCAGTGGCTACGAGCTAAAAACTATTTAGAAAAATCAATCTGCTGTTCCCTACGCAGTACCAGCTTGAGTCTCTGCACGAAGCTTGTCAGCCTGCAGCATATAGTCACGACGACGGAGAAGTTTCTGAGAAACTCAGGGCCGGCAGGTTAGACGCCACCGCATTCGCCACTCAATTTAGCTTGGAAAACACTGGATTGGTTGATGCTGTGGGCCAGTCATTACTGGAGGGCATGGTCGTTGGGCGGGACATTAGATCCGAATTATATGAATTGAGTATCTATGGTTAGCGAATGTTCGTATATCGTACATATTGAAACTAATTTTCGTTATGTTTAGGTGCGAGCAATTGTATCGGACCACACAAGAGTGCTACGAACAGCGACAAGATATTCGGTTTCCTTGACATTGTGTTCCCGACTCCGCATACCGGAGGGATATGCAGTCTACGCAACAACGAAAATGAGTGCCGTGTCGACTTTGCAACAATGCTGTCAGAAGCACAGATCCCTCTCGTTGGTTATGCAGCGTACTTCAATGAGGTCCAACATGAGATTGACCCAATCACATCCGGTCATCGCCTGACGTTGAGTTACAAACTCTACGTTGCGTCTAGCGGGGACAGTCCATCAGCTACTATGATCTGGGCACCCGGCCCTTTTGAACCGTCCTTGGAAACTGCCCTGGCCGAATTCGTGAATGATCCCAAGGTGTTGCCTAACGGTGGTTATCTCGGGTTCGGACTTCGCCATCAGTACCCGGTATCGTCAGAGATGAGAGTGGACACTCTTAGGTCATGCTTGAAGGGTTCGGATGCGATTATCACGCGCGTCCTGAATAAGCTTCATCTGTCATGGTCTCTTCGCGTTCTATATCGAGACAGCGTGTCTCATTCGGAACAGACGTTCGTGCTTCATAAGTTCATATCGGATCTATCCCAGAAAGACCTCGTGTGGAGTCACTGGGGCGCTGGTGAAAAGATGGGTCTAGGAGCTGAATTCGTTCGGTTTGTTGATGAATTTGGGAATGACGACGAGAAGCGGGCTGGCGATTACTCCAAATATTCGGAAGATGTTGTTGACATCATCCAAATGACAGAGATGCCTTCCGTCACAAACGTGCATTCTCAATACCTTGCGTACGGGAACGAGGCAATGATGGGAAACCTGTATGGCGATATTTGCCTAGTTGCGGAGGTCCCTGCGAAGGTCCTGTATTAGTACGAGCTTCGAATATGAAATTTAGGCGCGCTCAGAAAGCAGCTTTCTCGTCACTGTCAAATTGGGACTTTCGACCAATCACTGACTCACTAAATGACTCTGAAGCTTAAAGTGCGTGGGCCCCTTTGGGACCTTACGTTGACGAAGGTTTGATCAAGGAATGAGTCAGGTCATGTAGCGCGCTTCTTATTGCAAGAAAATTACGTCGAAATATTGACTCACCGTGTCTTCTATTCGTATCATAATATGTTAAATATTTTGGGTCTTTGAATGGAGAAATCACCATGGGGAAGTTGGACAACGTTCGAGCTTCCATGAAGCCCAGACCATCGTATTGTTGCGGAACGCTTCTTTCCACACCAGATAAATGCACCCTGTTTTACAGTACGGGCGCTGATGATCACGCGGGGTATGACTCGCACATCCGCGCGCTACATAAGATGAAAAGTTGAAGTTATTTTTTTCCAACAGAAAAATGAACTTACTGTCAACAACATCTGAAGAGCTCCGCCATTTAACGTGCTACTGTCGTGCTCAGTCTCCGACAGCAAATAACTCTCGCTTTACTCCAGCACAGCTCAACGCAATCGAGATTGCCACCACATTTGACGCGGAGCATTGCCGTCTCACTGAGGCCATTCGAAGTGAATTACTTGAAGGCGGTAATAGCAAGCGACCATTACAACTCCTTGTCCAGCACCTGAAGACTTATGGTTAGTTATTATATTTTATTGTAATAAACACTGAAAATAGCATACATTACCAGATGCAGAGTGTCATGAAACATTTTCGCCAGTCTTCCCCACAACTCAAGAGGGCTCAACCAGTCACCCTAATCTATTAGATGTCTATCTCCACGAGTACCAGCTCATCAAGAGCCATGAGGAGGAACGAATGTTTTCTCTCAGCCACGATGAGTTCTGCGATGTTTTTGGTTCGTGGCAAAGGATTTTCAAAAAACTGAAATACCTCATAATTCACTATTACAGGCCTTTCATCTGCAGTTGTCCATCGGATAGAGTCCACCAACCCATGCACAAACAAGGCGATCCCTAAAGGATTTGCAACTGTTTTAGTTGTATTCCCAACGGACATCGAAGGTGGAGCGTTACTCCTTCGCCAGGGTCATCACGAGTGGACCATTGATTTCGCAGAACTGTTCGCAAGGACGACACAGACATCTGTGGCATTTATTGCGTTCTACGACGACGTGCAGTTTGCAGTTAGAAAAATCAAGTCAGGGCATCGTGTGATACTTACATATCGCCTACACTTTCCAACCGATAATGACATTCCCCTCACCACCCTTGAGAGAAAGGGTGTTTACGACGTAAACTCGCTGACAACAGGCATCACCGAATTGCTTTTAGATCCAAGTGTTTTGCCTGAAGGCGGATACCTGGCATTTGGCCTTCACAATCAGTACATGTCTACGTCTAGGTCTGTGGTCGATATCGGCAGCCACCTGAAGGGCAGAGATGCAATGATCGCATGCGTTTTAAACTCCCTTTCCATCCTGTGGTCAGTCCGTATTCTGTATCGAAATGTTGGATGGACGGATTTCAGTTTCTTGGCGGATCATATAGTTGATCTTTCCAGCCACGACGAGGTCCACTGCTTGTCGGAAACATTGGGGAATCCTGAAATTGTTCGTTTCGTAGGGGCGCGTGGTGAACCGGATAGAAGAAGGGCCAAGTCAGACGGAGATGTGATGGGAGGCAAAGACGCAACAGATATCATGTTGGTTAGCACAAGGCCTTCTGCATGGAGTTTTCACTCGCATTATGTTGCGGGTGGTCGAGAGGTGATGATGGGAAACCTCTACGGAGACGTGTGCATCATAGCGGAAAGACCATCACTAGTCATGATACGAGGAGAAAGGAACCAAAGGTGGAGGGCTAGATAACTCATGACTGGTAGTCGATTGCATGATGCAGTTTAGATATGGATCACACGCAACTGGATAAGATGTCAACAGACGTTGAGAGATGGATTAATGTGAAACAAACTTTTAATGTACAGCAAGTTAAGCACGGGTCAACCTAGAACTTTCTGAGAATTGTCCAGCGCTGCATTTGCTGAGAAATATGACTTACAATCTACTAGTAAGCTTGTTCCTACCAGTGAGAGCGCATGGTACCCCCAGCCTCTAGAGCTCCACATTTGGCGCATGTACGATGTACATCAGATGTAAATTGTGGATGTTGTCAATAGAGTCTATCAAGTCGATGGTCGTGCCAAAACACGACAAAAATCACGGTCACATGACGAATATAACCCATACGCGTGACATGTTCAAACTTAAGAGCTAGTTCGGCAACTCGATATTTTCGATATTTTTCAATATTTGCTTTGGCATGTTTGCGAAAATGTTCACCGGCATCGTTCCGAGATGTCGGAGCTCGAACCTTGCTTCTCTCCTACTGTACATATTATCAATGGATGTATACCCTCATCTAACCCTAGAGCGGCGTAAGAGGCTTTTTGCTGGTGCGGTCGCGATCACTGCGATCTGTGCACAGTACACTACTCTTCTCATGGCCCAACCTGAAGTCAATGCTCCCCCTCACTCCAAGGCCCCACCAGCGCAGTGGAATGATGTCGAGACTGTTACCCTTGTAGACTATCTCTATGATCATCGCTCAGAGGCTGAAGGGGCAGGCAACTTCAAGCAGCAGGTTCTTGGCTCTGCTGCAGAGTTCATCAACAATCATGAGGCGCTTCAATCCACTCGCGCAGGTCCACTGAAGACAGCGAAATCAACTCGAAACAAGTGGACATCAGTAAGCCCTATTTGATCTCATCTGATCTAAGCTGACGAGTCTCATCTAGCTTAAAAACATATTTCATGCTATCGAGAAGTACCGCAACCAGACAGGGGTCCACTGGGACAATGAGACTGGAGCTGGGATTGAAGGAACTGCGGCTGCGGCTGTATGGACATCGTATGTCAAGGTATGTCCCCTCTTCGTCATATTGATTTGAGCGCTGACTTTTGTCAGGCAAATAACCTCATGCGTCCTTTCCGCAACAGGGGATGGGAGCATTATGAAAAAATGCAGACCATCATCCCATTGGGCGGCGCTAGAGGGCGGCACGTCTTCCGTCCAGGTGGCGCTGCTCCCTCCACCACCAATGCTGATAACGATCTTGCGGATGCTGCTGGCCCATCAAGCACTGCTGCTGTTCCTGCTGCTCCAAGCGCTGCTGCTGTTCCTGCTGCTCCAAGCGCTGCTGCTGTTCCCGCTTCTGCAGGCCCATTAAGCACTGCCGCCACCTCTACGTCCATCACTAGCTCCACTCCTGCACGTTCCACCGCCATCTCTACTACCGCTGCGTCTACCGCTGCGTCTACCGCTGCGTCTACCGCTGCTGGCTCTAACGCCAGCAAGCGCCCATATTCGGATGTGATGGGGGACATGGAGTCAATTGGCTCCACGCACTTGTCATCGTCCATGCGACCTCCTTCCACCACGCTGGTGTCAGCCCCCCCATCCAAGAAACCACGGACTCCGGTGGTGTCCCAGAACAGCCGTGTCACCAAGATCAGCAGTGCCGCCAAGGCTGCAAAGATCACGCCGGCAGCTGCTGTGGTGGGGATGCAAGGCACCATCAACCGGCTCACCGACGTCTTTGAATGGTTTGTCAGAGGAGGGCCTGATGGTGCACAAGGTAGTGAGGACCTGGTCATGCGAGCCGTCAAAATCCTGGAAGGCGAGGACTCTGACATACCGCCGGACCAGCAGGCTGCTCTCATCATGTTCATTGGTTCAAAGGGCAATGAACATTACCTCAAGTTCTACGTGAATCTTCAGGAGAAGAGTAGGAGGCGTGCATTCGTGGGGAAGCTGATCGGCGAGGCAGTTGATGCAGGTGATGCCGGTCCAGCGCCGCGTGTTGATGCTGAAATGACGGGCTGAGCCGCCTGCCAGCAGGACAATATTCGTTTTCAATGTTTTAAATCTCATCATGCTGTGTGTGTTCGCTCGCTACTTCTTGTGTTGTGTTGCTATATGTTGTACTACCTACCACCTGTGAACTGAATAGAATAACTCTTGTGTGTCAATAACAAGCGCGTTCTCACTTCATTGTTCATTGTTCAGTATGGAGCACAGTAGTAAGTACAAAGTAAGCCTACACATCACTATCAGTATCATCAGCGGCATCAGCAGCAGCATCCTCGTCATCGTCCATGATATCAAGTGCGTCTAAACCCCGTTCCTGTATGACGCGCTGATACTGCGTCCACATCGCTGCTGCAATGCGATCACGCATCGCAGCTCCTTGACGAAATTCCTCCTCGTTATCCTCCTCAATAGCTGCTGCGTCATCCTCCGCGGCCACGTCAGCGCCAAGACCACCACCATCCTCAACATCTTCATCTTCGTCATCAGCAGGAGGATGACCCTCGCTAGGGTCACGAAGACGAATGTAGTTGTGTAGGGCGCAAAGCGCGGCTGGAATCTGCGCTTGAATCTCCATAGCGTAGGCCGGTGGTAAGAGCAGTATGCGAAAACGTTGCTTGAGAACGCCAAAGATGCGCTCAATGACGTTTCGTGCTGACGCGTGACGTAGATTAAATAATTCCTCCTTGTTAGAAGGCCTGTAAACTTAGTACTTAGCACATTGAAAATCAATCGAGAATGAACTTACCGTATATTGGCGCGACCCCATTCGGCAAGATGATAACGCACGCTTCGGTAGGGTACCAGCAACCCAGGACGTAGAGGATATCCTGCGTCGGCAAGAAAATATTTGCCAGCGGGAGTGCGAAAGTCGTAAGAGCAGGCGTCCTCGTAGACGCGAGCATCAGTGGCCGACCCTTCCCAGCCTGTAAGTGCGTATGTGAAGTTGAGCTCGAAATCGCATGCGAAAAGGCAGTTCTGCGACACGAAGCCCTTGCGATTACGATACACCGGACGTTCGATGGCCTTAGGCGTGACGTGGATGTGACTGCCGTCGATCGCCCCAATAGCGTCCTTGAAAAAGGGCCACCATTTGGGGTTCTTCCGAATTTTGCGGGGGACCGAACCATCTGGAAAGCGCACGTATCTTGAATAGAACGGGTCCGACGTGAAGATGATAAGCATCTTGCGGAAATAACTACATACTATTAGATACTGTCACTTGAAATAAAATAAAATAAACTCACCGTGAAATCGTTTCGTTCGAGCGTTGAAATCTCTCCGCAACATGCCTGATTGATAGGCCAGTCACAGAGGTGTAAAGAAAAATCGCAAGTTGTTCCTCGAGGGACACAAACTTGGAGTCTGAATGGCCCATGGTGCGAAGCTCGGAGATAAGCTCCACAAATGCATTGGCGCGCATGCCAAGCTCACACCTGATGCGCTCTGGGTGACCAGTGAGCAACTCGATCACCCAGTCTTGCCCAGTTAGCGCTGAAGTGTGATAGGGCTCGGGATCTTTGGGATATATTGATTGTAGGATGCCGTGCGTAGAAGCAACAACGATGCTGATTACGAGTACCATGCATTTGAGGAGTCGTTCCCGGACCTCTGGCCGAGGATTCGTCATGAGCGCTGCTAGGCGTTGGCGCTCCATCGCGAACCCCAGTGGTTGGGGATCCATCAAGGTATATACCCTACCCTCATTATCACTGATCTTGTTGATAAGCTCAAATTCAAGCTCCGAATCGCCTTGGACTTAGGGGGAGCATTGACTTCAGGTTGGGCCATGAGAAGAGTAGTGTACTGTGCACAGATCGCAGTGATCGCGACCGCACCAGCAAAAAGCCTCTTACGCCGCTCTAGGGTTAGATGAGGGTATACATCCATTGATAATATGTACAGTAGGAGAGAAGCAAGGTTCGAGCTCCGACATCTCGGAACGATGCCGGTGAACATTTTCGCAAACATGCCAAAGCAAATATTGAAAAATATCGAAAATATCGAGTTGCCGAACTAGCTCTAAAGGTTGTGGCAGTCCCACTCGCGCCTTTTGGCAAATTTGTATTTTGACTGAGTCTTGTAAAGTTGTTGTTTCATCATACCACTCCCCTTACCGCACACATTGTGCAACATCATGAGCAGCTTTCTAGAACTGTACGAGCCTCTGGATATTATCGGCAATGGTTCATTCGGAATTATTCGTAAAGTCAGAAGGAAGTCGGATGGCCAGGTAAGTCTGCAGGCGTTACCCCTACTTCGCTAGGTCAGAATTGATATTTTGTGGTAGATTCTTGCAAGAAAGGAGCTCAACTTTGAGAGAATGAGCGACCGCGATAGAAAACAAATTGTTGCTGAAGTGTCAGTGTTCAAGTTCATTTCCGCTGCACCAACTCATCGCTGTTCAGTAATATCTTGAAAGATCTGCACCACGAGCATATTGTACGATATCACGACCGTCACGTTGACCGAGATGCAGGTATCCTGTACATCCTTATGGAGTATTGTGGCGGAGGGGATTTATCCACTGTCATAAAGCAGGCGCAAAAGCACAACCGACCCGTACCAGAGGACACGATATGGAACTACTTCATGCAAATTCTGCTTGCACTTCATTATTGCCATCACCCTGGCAGCCATGGACGAATAGGTAGTGGCACGTCTGAAGGTGATGCCAAGCGGCCGCAGATTTTACACCGAGACCTCAAGCCAGACAATGGTATGTCATTTTAAGATCATTTCTTACTTTACACCACCCTTTCATCTGCAGTCTTTCTGGACCAATCAAATACCGTGAAGCTTGGTGACTTTGGTTTGTCAAAAGCGCTGTCCCAAGCAAACTTTGCGAACACATACGTCGGGGTAAGCTATTTGACTGGGACTCTTGCATGACTTAATTCAGGAGACCAGACACCATATTATATGTCTCCTGAGCTGATGCAAGAACGAGCCTACGATTCCAAGTCTGATATCTGGTCTTTGGGCTGTCTCATATACGAGCTTTGCGCCCTGAAGCCGCCATTCCATGAAGCCAAGACTCACGCTGAGTTGAGCATATTTATACGGTCAGTTGTAGATTGCCTCACTCTCGCATGGCAGAAAAATTTGAACTCCCGCTCGTGTAGGAACGGCCGAATACCACCCTTGCCGAAAGGGTACAGCCAGGCGCTGTCAAGTGTTATCAAAGCAATGTTGAACCTTAACGTAAGTAATCATATCATACGGGGGTGCACACTACGGTCCTTGTCTGTTCTATTGCTTATTCAACATCTCTTTGCAGCCCGCGATGAGGCCTTCGGCAGCTCAGCTCCTCCAACACGAGCGCTTGGAGCTCGTTTTCAAGGTTTCAGAGACTGAAAAGATGTGAGTTTTTGTTGCAGGACTTACGGATCACTCTAAATGGCTTTTACAGGCTCACTACAGTGAAATCACACAAAGTAGCGGTTGTTACGAAAGAGCGGGAAGTCGCTGCCCGCGAGACAGCCCTCGCAGAACGGGAAGCACGGCTAACATCCATTGTATCTGAAAAAGATCATGAAATCGTCCGACTCCGCGAGCTCTTGGGACAGGCAGAGGCCCTCTCAGAACAACGGCTGCGTGATGTGCGAAAACGTATGGAGGAAGTGATGGCGCTACGCGAGGAAGAGCTTGAACAACATGTCCGCCAGCGTGATCAGGAGCTATTTGCGTGGTGGACAACAAGAGAGCAGGAGATAAGGGCAGGGATGATGAAGGAACTAGAGGACAGGGTAAATTGGGTTCGAGGGAGGGAAGAAGAGCTCGAGGCAGAGCAGGGCAAGCTGGACGAAGCAAGACAAGATCTAGAAGTAAGGCTGAAAGCAGCGGAAGAGAAGGCTGCGAACGAAGCTAAAGGTTCAGACTATGTTTTTTCCACACTTTCCAGTTGCTGATTGTGTCAATTTTAGGACCCAAAGACAAGACGCCCCTGGAAGAAGTGAAAAACCTGCTTGCACCTCTCACGCAAATGACTCAAGACTGCCGCTTGCGGTCTGCCCAACGGCGGTCGCAGGATGTTTCTTTCATGAACACGACCATGACGCTCGAAACGCCGATCAATCGTCCCGTCAAACCTGTGGTGCCCTTTTCAGCGATGAAAGGTGTCATCCTGACAGACACTGGCGAACCGTTGGCAACACCTACTCCAGCTCAGCTCGTCAATCTTTTCGTCAAATCACCAAAAGTGAACATCGAGTTTGCCAAGATATTTGATTTCGACGAGGGGGCTGAGAGCTCCGAAGCAGAAGACGGGGAGGGTTATACCGACTTGCCGCCTTCCCCGTCGAAACGAGAACGAACAAGTCCCGAGATGACTGCCTCAGCCTCGTCATCAAGAGACCCGAATGTTGTCCCCCCCACACGTCTACGCAAGCCGTCCATTCGAGGATCTGTTCGACGCGCACCTCTCCGGAGAACTGCGACTCTACCGGCATCTGCCTCCGATCCTACAGGATTCGCATCATCATCACGACCCTCAAAGTCAACAACCTCGCGCACAGAGTCTACAAATGCTTGCACGACCACAAAGACAATACCTCCCGTACCCCCAGAATATGACCTTTCTGACGAAGAAAATTTACCTAGTCCTTTCCTTAAGCGCATTGAACGTGAACGAGCGATAGCTCCTGGAACTTTTCGGACAACGAAACATTCAGGCGCCGGCAACCTCTTGCGCGTTGTAGCAGCTGCGAACAATGCCAAGCAGGGGAAGCGACCTCACGCCGCAGGAATGATGGGCCATGGCACTCGGGCGGCGCTTGCAGGTGCTCGGAAGGCAAGTGAGGAGGCACAAAAGGCATTGTCACGGTCATGACATGTGGTGTACTCTATGTAGAATCATTCTGTTTTATTGCATCAATATTGACGATATGTTAACGATAACCTTTTATTGGCGTGAGTTGCGTAGTATCTCACAATAATAACTCTTGCATGATGAATCGAGTGCGTCCAAGTCACAGTGGATGCTGCAGCTGTAAGCATACTAGGCACTTTGTGTAATACCTCTCACGCATGTTCTGACAGACTGACACGCCCCTGCAATGTCCGATCAGAGGACCGCCGGGGAGAGCGGGAAATACAGACACCGGTGTAGTCGGGCACGGCAAAACGCAAACACCGGCGCGAAATGAAATCGATCAAGAACCACGAGCGCATGTTGTATAACTATAAAGTATTCGGACAGTATCCCTCAATGAGACTCCCCATTCCGCTTCAACGCTCTAGGATTATGCGACCATGATTCCTAACCAAAGCCTCTTGCACTTCAACACACTGTGCCATAGCGATTGACATATTTTGCAATGTCATGGATCGTATCTGTTCTTTTCGTGGTGGTTCTCTCTACAGTCCTCCTCACATATGAAGTTGCTGCTTGAGCTTCTACTACTGTCCCTATCTTCTTTCCTTTTTACCTCCCGTGGTGCTGCCAAACCAATACCCGTGATATCTGCAACCGCGCGCCGGTAGGTGCCGGACTCTCCTCGTGATATGCATCATGCATGCAACCCTCGCCTTTCTGACTTACGCGAACCTCATGGGGAACACGTCACCTTTCTGACTCACGCGAACCTCCTGGGGAACACGTCGCCTTCTTGACTCACGAGAACCTCGTGGGGAACACGTCGCCTTCTTGACTCACGAGAACCTCGTGGGGAACACGTCGCCTTCTTGACTCACGAGAACCTCGTGGGGAAGATGTCGCCTTCTTGACTCACGAGAACCTCATGGGGGACACCTTGGCCGTGTTAACGCACGAGAACCTCGAGGTACATACGACATCATCCGGTGATCGCAACCTGGAGGAGACTACTCTTGTCACAGTGACCGTAAAAACGTACCTTTGGAATTCACATATACTCCCCATCATGAGAGTGCTAGCTGTCGTGGGGCACTTGGGTGTGGACGACTATATTTTGGTGACTCGCATCCCTAGCGTCATATCGCTAGGGGACTTCGACACAACTTTCTGGCAGGATCCAAGACCCGCAATAAGCCACCTTCATGACAAGCACGAGGAAACTGGAGCTGATACGCGTGCCCATGGTCGTCACGACTTTTTGAATGCACGTATTCTCTGCCAATCTCCGGAGTGTACTGTAAGCCTTGATGCGGTGATGTCGCATACAGTTTACGTGTCTTTTTAATCCCTTGGATAACTGTGACATTAACAACTCGACTGCAGCGGTCGATATACATGTGTTGGCTGAATTTTGCACACTCACGTAATTCTTTCTGTGCATTCTGAGGTTTGTTTTGACCATGCAGCAGTCGTGATTATCTGAGCAGATAAAACTGCATGTACCGATATTATCTGCACCCCAATTAATTGCAACAGCATCCACCCCCTGCATACTTCAACTGAGTCTTGTCCCCCGTCAGACTTCCATTATGGCTGATGACAAACCCTCACCGGGTCAACCCCTAGACCCAAACAACCATGCCATCGTCATACAAAATAACTACATCGCCGAAGGCGTAACGATCAACATAAATTCGAGCAACAGTTATGGTTCCAGTGGGCTCTTCATATATCCGACTTGCCATCCATTAATCTTCTGAATAAGCCGTAACCAAACTAGAACATGTCGCCGCCCAACCGGCGGAGTCAACATCCTCGCAATGTTCGTTAGCGAGACCGCTAGGTCCAGTTGACTACGGTCGCGAAAGTGTAGTATTCAATGGCAATACGCTTGGCCAGTACGTGGTGATAAATATAGCATCACCCCACTCGACAGGCGCTGGTATGTCTTTTTCTTCTGAATGACAATTCAAGAGCTTTACGATTGATCAGTCAAACAAACCGTTCTTCCATCACCTGGACGATCCAGAAACAGATCCAGACGCCGAACCAAGAACGTTTAGTTGGGTCTTATCATATATCGTAGCGGTGCAAGTGACAAATCAATCGTCATCCTATCCCTGACTCCTCTACAAGGCCCAAAGTAAACAATCTCACGTATGCATATTGAAATACATCAATCCCACATGCCTTTCCCTTCGCTCCTAGGACTCTGTATATTTGAACACTTCCGCACGCGTATTCCAACCATTACATGCCATGCCTCGTATTCCATCGTATTTCAGCCGTACCCTACTGGTCTGGTTTTCGGCCTCTCCCCGACACATTAATTAATTCCTGGCCTCACAGGACATCTCATCTGCCCAATTTACCTCTCCCCTGATGCGTCTTAACCATGCGATAATGTGACTAATTATAACAAACACTACGGAAATGAAAATTTAAGCAGACCTGGACAGGATGCAAAAACACCCACGGCATCATCCAGGAAGCGACAGGTACCCGTTTCGTGTTCAAAACCGACACAGGGAAGCCAGCCGTCCCATTTCCCTCACCCTGACTTTCCTGATAGTGACGATTTCATCTCTATCAGCTTGTACTAAGGTTGTTCAAGGGCTCTGCATCTGAATCTGCTAGTCTACAATACTTGTCCAACGACCGTGCAAATATTTTTCAGACAACGCAACTCATATATGTCTCATACTGTCTAGAAAACACACAAAAATACATTGACAACATCTGTCATTCCATTCATATTCCATGCACGGTTCACTCCGATATCCACACGTCCAACACCTTCCTCGCGGCACTCCCAAGCATACTCTGTCCGTGAACGCTCACCAACTCTTCGAGAATCGGTCTTGTGGCATCTTTCAGCCTTTGGAATCCGTCTCCGGTTCCACGTTTACTGATCTGGCCAAAGAACGCACATATGTTTGTTCGAACCTCGGCAGGAGTGGACTCGCTCTTTAAAGAGACAACGAGCTGATCAAGGGCATGTCGAACAGATGGTATCTTACTGGATGCGCCCGTTGGAGAAAAGATGATCGGGGAGTCCATCGTTTCACTGCTGGTAGAGGCAGTTGTGGATACTGGGGCGGACCCCGTCGAGGATGGCGTCACTTCTACTGGCAGTGGAGTGGTCAAAGCGTTCAGAACTAATGCACCTATGTAACAACATTAGTCAGTTTTTAGTCAACATTAGGAATTCGCCTCGCTCACCTCCGTCGCGGTGCATGCTCAATAGACTTGATGCTACTACGCCCTCATTAATAAGGATGAGATGCTTGGCGCTTCTTCCGATAAGGGCAGCCAGCGCTTCTGCGCACGCTGGAGTGAGCAAGGCATCCATGGCTTTCATTCGCTTCTGTTGTCTGACTCGTAGCTCCTCCTCGCTGATTAGTTCATCTCTACGTTCGTTCGTCCAGAGCGATCTGATCAGATTCACGATGATCCGTGTACCTTCGCTCTTGATCGCGACTGTGTCGGAGCGCTTGACAAGGGCAAGCAACTGGGACAGACCTGTCGAAGGAGGGTCTTGACTGTCCACTGGTTCCAGTATAAAGTTGCAAGAATTATCCACTACAAGGAGGCAATCGTTTCGAATCGCCGTAGAAGCAAGTCAAAAATGAATGCTTACCACTGTTGTTGCACAAATGCTTTATAGCACCGATGGCATTCACCTGGACTATTTCAAGCATGAAATCGCTCCTGTCATCCCAAACGCCGCTCCTGATTATGAGCTGGATGACACCAGCGGCGCTGAGAGCTGCACGATTGAATGGCATCTGAGATGAGGACTGTGCCAAGTGCTTTAATAGGCCAATGACACCATGCTTCAGTTTGATGTCAGTAGACGGAGCGAGCAGAGCGTCCGACGAGAGGAGTCGGGCGATGTCGTGTGGCTGAGAGAGTAGAATTGTTGAGTGAGATTCTAAACCAATGTCAGCTAGTCACCCACATTACTATCTGTTACTTACCTCCACGTGTTATGTTACCCAGAGATAAAGTGGCACAAATTACAAGGTCATCTCTCCCATTGCCAGAAGTCTCGCCACTGACAAAAGCTCTGATCCAGTCGACCATTCGTGACACAAACTCTCCTCCTGGCTGCGCATCGTCTGAGTCGTCCCACAGTAAATCGAGATTCCTATCGTCTCCAGAGACTTCTACAACAGCCTTGATTACCGCAGCCTTGCAATCATCGAAAGCCTTCTCTTTCTTACTGATGTCCCCACCCTCTAGACCATTCTCGGACTGGACATACCACAATGGAGGATATTTTCCCTTCTCAACAAAATCGAGCATCGCGGAAAAACAGGGAACGTCATGATGCTCCGAGGGAAATGTAAAGCCGCGTGCCAGCGAAAGACGCATGTCCGCCACGTCAAGCGCTGATGACTCGAGGTGAGAGCATGACTCTGAGAGAAGGTCAAAATCTGTATTGATGAGAGTCGTCCGTAGTTGAGAAGGTTGAGCGAAGTGAGGGGGAGGGGGCGCAGCCAGGAGTGGTGGGGTGAAGGCGATAAGTGATTGGACGAGATATGGCAACACTTCTTGGGAGAACAGAGGGTGTACTAGAGCAAAATAATCCTGAGAATGACCAAAACATGACATCAGGAAACAACTGTACCATCATCTTGAAGTTCTGATATCAACCTTCCTGCCCAACTCGATAGTCCGGCTCTTATGGTCCAAGATTCGGCGATACGGTCAAAGGTGATGTCAGTTGGAGATGTGTCAGGAAGATGAAGGTTAGAGATAGTTCTCATCCATGCAGCAGGAGGATAGAGGGCTGTAGATAGCCGGAAAATCGTCTTCGCAACCTCCAGCGATATGAGACGATTTCTCACTGGTTCTAGAGAACAGGTCAATATTTGTCCGTGATTAATTTAAGAGTGCAACATGCCATATGTCAATGTAGCATTCAACAAGACTCCGACAGCAGTCTTCACAACCTGTAGATGTGCAATAGACATAGGAAACGGATCCACCTGAGGTTCCTCAGGAATAGTGTCTGTGTAGCCTTCGAGCAAAGATACAACGGCCTGGGGGAAACCTGCCTCGAGGAGGTGCCCCCGGTTCTGGTCTAAACACGTTTTTAGTACACTATTACGAGAAGCAGTTGAGAAACGAAAATCACCATGCTCCACGCAAAGGTTCGCGCCAACACGAAGAATCTCGAAGACAGGTGCTGTACGACTAGCATCCGGGATAAGCGTACCGTTCAACGCGCTGCTGAGTAAAGTAGTGAGATTCTGAGGTAACAAAGTTTTTCCCAACATCGTGTGATTATCATCTGTCGGTAACGCATAAATTTCCCCTGAGCTGCGATGTAAACATGTCACTCTCACCAGGACCATCTCGAACACGAAGGCCATTTGCTAATTGTTGTGCGGTCAACTCTACTTCTTTCCATGTTTCTTCGATGTCATTGACAGGGAGTTGTGCCACGAGATCACCCAACTTTCGAGCGCACTGAGCGCAAGTCAGGGACATCGGAGGAGTGTCCATATGTCTGAAGGATGGCAGAGGTGGTGTGGTATGTCGCGTGCTTAATACAAATGAAGGGCTTTAAAGTTTCTGGCTGCAGCAAAAATCGCCTGCTTGGATAGAAAGCTGATCAGATAGAGTGAACCGAGGGAAATCGGTTAGTAAGGACAACTCGCCATAAGTTGGATCAATTGTGGCAGTGCACCTGCAAGTCATACAGCACTTTAATATTGAGATGATCACAGCATTCACAGTACAGCGTATCTGTTGATCTATCGAATTCTGATTCAACGTCAACTGTAATGGCTATGCTTATTTTTTGAGCCTAGCCTGGGCCTCATCTCATGATACGCTTCATTGATATAGCAACGTGTGTTTATTCTCTAATCGGACGACTCCACCAACGTTAATGTGAGCGTAGATTCTTTGTGGACCTAAGTATAGTTGTAGAAAGCAGGTTCGCTTCTCTTGCCTCACGCCGGTATAATAAGCCCAACGGTAAGTTGCCCGACCTTCTTTCAAATAGTTGCCTTGACTTCTTTTTTCAAACCTGATGAAGAGACCCACGGTTGATCATCGTGCGTGAACAGCTATCCTATCCTCGACATCATCGATATAGTCGACGCATCGAGGGTATATCATGATCGCGATTCTGATTCCCAGCCTCGCCGGCTCTGCCCGATATGTCCTACGTGCTAGCACTGCACGTCCAGTGGTCTTGCATTGCAGCGTCAACAAGAAGCGAAAGGCGGGTGTAACTGTGGGCACTCGAAACGATGAACGTGTCGATTTGACGACTCACTGGACAACTCGGACGGGAGATGAAGTGAGAGAAGGCGAGCGTGGGAAGACTTGACTCTCGTACGCATTCGGTGACCCTTTTCTTTTCCATACTTGTTGCACGCCTCATACACGTTTACCTTTGAGTTTAATCACAATTCCCGTGCACTCAGGATATGAGAAGATATGTTAGGAAGGCGAGTGGCAACTATTTACTGTACAGTTACACTGTAGGCCTAGGAGGGTATTCAAAATCTGATACAGTAATTTTTTGCAGTTTCTGTCTGTAGTGTCAACAGTAGATAAGATTAGATCACAAATCCCGCTTTGGTCTTGCTTGGAGTAATCGATTTCGGTGACCAGCAAGCTCACTCTTCTACTGGCAGTACCGCAAGAAACTATGGCAGGTTCAAGAAAGAACAAAATCAAGAAGTTCGTCTCTTCATCACGTAGCAGCACGCCAGATCAGGCCCAAACCGAGGACAATGATCAACTCGTAGATGACCTGCTTGCGGAACTCGACTCCCGGAACCAGACTGTACAGCAAGAATCAGCTACCGTGTTATTGGAGATTCAAGAACATGAAGAGAATACAGTTCAAGACAATGCTCGATCGTCCAAGAAGAAGCAGGATAGTAAGAGCCGACATGAAGCACGACAGGTGAATATCTGTTCCGGACCCTTCGTTAATCACACATTAACATTCAGCAGGCGAGAAAGGTAGCAGCCTTAGCTCAGAATCACGCACCAATTGATCCGGTGGCAGACGCAAGACTAGAAAGAGAGGCAAAGGAAGAAGAAGCATCAATAAAG